AAAATGATGGGGAAGAAATTGGATATAAACAATATTCGGACTCGTGATTATTTGATTATCAAAGTTTTCATACTCGTAGCAAAGAATTATATCAATCTAAAATTTAAACTATTGAATAAGATTTCAAAAAATAATTTTATATGATTTTATAACACTAGCTATACTTAATTATTTAATTTTAATTATAAAAAGGTAAAAATAATAAAATTTAAATTAAAGAACGTTTGATTATTAAAGTTTTGATATTATATAAAAGAATTATTTCAATTTAAAAGTTTAAATTATTAAATAAAATTTTTAAATTAAAACTATTAGATAAAATTTTAAGAATCATTTTATTAACTATAAGAGAAAATTTTGCCTTTACTATGTCTACTTTTCTTCTCATATCGCCCGCAAAATGAAAAAATGCCTTGCATTAAAGGGAGGAAGGACGAAAGCATGCATGCCAAGATTGGTATACGACAAGCTTGAAGGAGGTGGGAATTAGATAAGGAAAGAAAAATGTGCAAAAGATTCTCCACTGCCTACAATCAAGCGTCCAAGAATTTCCTGTGGGGTTTTTAGCATGCTCTTGTTTTTTCAAAGTAGGCCACTGCCGCAGCATTTCTTTATTTGTAGACTGCCTCTTTTTCAAACAAGATGGAAAATGCAATGAATTTGCTACTATTAAATGGTCACGCTGGATAAATAGCTGCTCCTCCCCTCCAATATATATATATATCAGAGGTAATCCGAAAATATTTCAAAGGCAGAAAAAATATTATTATTAATTGAATTACATTTTTTTATTTATAAAATCCAATGTTGTGTGGCTGCAAAATATAAAAACAGATTCTCTATTTCTGTTTCGTTGCAAATTTAATCTCGTTTTTTGAGTAAGTTGTAAATTTAATCTCGTTATTTTTTTAGAACAAATTAATTAATTATTTAGCTCATTAATAAATGTTATCACTCTTAATTTAATATAATTTTATTTTAAAAAAATATCATATCTTTTCATCAATTCTTTCATATTTTTACTTATTTCTTTCCTATTTTTGTAAAATAAAAAATAAAAATAATTTGAAAATGAATGAAAAGAGTTAAGTTATAAAAAAAATTAAAAAATACAGAGATTAAATAATTAATTTTTAAAATAAAAAGAATTTATTAACTCAGTTTTCAAGACTAAAGAAACTAATTTATAATTTACCCTTTTATTTTTCTCATCTTATATTTGCATTAGAGAGGAAATTTTTTCAAAATTATGGTAACTCCAAAAAATTGGTGCCTCGTCGAGTAAAACTGAAGTGAGATTTAAATTCTTTCCCTTCCGCTATTAAATTATAAATCTGAAACGTCTAAAACCAGCGTTATAATTAGTAAAAACAAATAATTAAAAACTCCTTTAATTAATTTTTTTCTTATCCTTAAACCTCCCCAAAAAAATAAATTATAAATTAATCTTTTTATTTTGAATAAATAAATATTTTCTGTTTAAAAGTTAATTATTTAATTTTTTTATAAATTGGATTTTTTTGTTTCTTTATGATTTTTTTAAATTAGAAAAAAAATATAGAAATATAAAAAGATTGAAAAAAAATGTAAATTAAATAATATTAAATTAAATGTAATTAATATTAGTCAATAAATTAAAGAAGTAGTAACATTAATTCGTTTGTCGAAAATAAAAAGATTAATTTATAATTTACTCCCTAAAAGCAACACTAAAAAAAGCTCAGGCTGGCGCTAACGTCACCTAAAGTGTCCCACACCCGAGCTTCGGGATTCGCTACGAGGAAAGAAGTCATGCTTGTGGGACCCACGCTAGCCCCACCCTCTGTATTGCCTAATTTCTCTGCTTTCTTTCCCTCTCCTTTTAACCGTCCGATTCCTCCCTTCCTTCATCAAGACAAAACTTAAAACAAAACAAAACAAAAAGCCACTCTCTCTGTCTCTCACTCTCAATCACTCACTGTTTTTTTCCTCTCTCTCTCTCTCTGCCCTTCGTTTTTGCCGTTTCGAAGGAAAACCAAAAAACCCGCGTCTTGGAGGATTACAAATAGAGAAAGAAAGAAAGAAAGAAAAGACTTGATTTTCTTGTTTCTTGATTTCTGCTTGAGTAGTAATTCTTTTCTTTGCTTATAATCTACGTTGTTTTTCAAGAAAGATATTGCTGATGATTTCAGCCCCCCAACAGGACTGAGACAGCTCACTTCTTTTTTACGTATTACATCTTTTTCGGGATCAGCGATTGATTCTTCTTCTTTTTTGCGTTTCTGGTATGGATTTCAATCAAACTTTCGTTTTTGTTTTACCCTTTAGCTCTGTTGTGTTATCTCTCTCGTTGGTTTTTTTGTTTTTAATTATTGCCTATTTGGTTGCTGAGAAACTGGAGGGGAAGATTGAATGAAAGAACTATTCATGTTTCTTTTAGTGAAAATCTGTGTTTTCGACGAAATGGTGATTAATGGCTATACTGGCTTGCATTGTTAGTGGAAAACGCAAGATTTTCAGGGTTCTTTTTTTGTTTTTTCCTGGATTTCAAATTATTGAATGAACCTGCATTTTGTTTGGATCTGTTACTTGTCTGATTTGGTTCTGAATCTTGGGGTTTTGTGTGAATTGGAGCAAGAAAGTATGGAACTTGTATCAGTTTACACTCTAGAGAGAAAGATCGTATTACAAGGAGATGTCTGACCGCCCATTCTGATTCAATTTTCTTCTTGTTTTTATTTTTTATTTTTTTGATATATGATCTTTTAAACAAGTAGTTGACTGATTACTTATGATATTAATTTAGCTTGATTTAAATCATTTGTTTTTCTGGTTTTTAAAGAACTGAAATTATCTACCATTGACGAAAACAGTGGATTCTTGAAAATAGGTTGGGTGATTTATTGGGATATTATCTGAAGGAATCTCTATTCCTTTCTCTGAAATTTCGATAGTTTTAGGGTTTCGTGACTAGTGAACAAACACTCCCCGCAATCAGGCATCCAAGTCCATAAATCCCAATAGCTGTTTTTTTCTTTCCTTTTTTTTTTTTTTTTGGCCAAAGGCTTGTCGCTAGTCTTGCTCACAGGCCATTTGTCTTTCTAGCCACTTCTCAATTTTTCCGTGTTTTACTTGTTTCTATTCTGCTTATTGAAAAAAAGCATATGTATGCATATTCTATTACAGTCATCAGGTTGTGAACTTGTGAATTTTGAGAAACTGAAGTTGCTGGAGAGTGAATCAGAAGCCTTTTTCCTTTTATGCTTTTGCAGGTTAAATGAGTCGGTGAAGAATTAAAGGATCCAAAATGTCATCAGATGTGAAATCAAGTCGTACATACTCAGAACCTTCCAGTGAAAAGGGATTCAGTTTGGACATTAAGAAGAGTTCTAGATGGCTGCAACATTCCAGGATAGTGAAGGATACGGCTCTTTCAACCCAAGCAATGCAGAGTTTAAAGCATCAAGACAGGTTGAAATCAAAAAGTTATGTTAGTCAACCATGTCGTGACATGCCTCATGAATTGAGACTACATGCAAATGATAGGATCTCGGTCCAATCAAAAACTTCAGGGAACCACCACAAGCTGCACTCTGTCGAGATAAATTCAAGAAAGGATGATGAGCTTGTAAGGTATATGTCAGATTTGCCAGGTTATCTCCAGCGCATGGAGAGAAATGAAAGCATACAAGATAAGGCTTTGAATGTTGGAGTTTTGGATTGGTCACGTCTAGAGAAATGGAGGATTGCAGCAAGTGATAGCAATAGTGGGTCATTGACTAGCAGCAATTTGCCAAGTAAAATGACTATGAAGTCCGCTACCTTTCCTAATGCGGTTCACAGTAACACACTCACTTATCGCAGCAAGCAGCACCCTTCTCACAAAGGCCGTATTCCTCAAGCTGCCAAACCTCCTATCCAGAATGCCTCACGCTTTCAAGATTCTGAAACTGCTTACAAGAGCAATGTTGATGGGCAGAAAAAAGTACCAAGGACCAACAAGTCTTTTGGCAGAAATAAATCAGATGTCATTCTTGAACGGGGGAAGAGAGAAGACAGAGATCAGAAGATCACTTCTAAAGCTGGAAGTTGTTCCTCAAACTCAAGATATGACAGTACCTCAATCAGGTCCAAGGTGAATGCAAGTGCTTGTGACAGTGCATCTGAGAAGAGAGCTGGGGAGAAGCAAGGATCTGTAAAGAAAAAACCATTGGATCAGAAGATTACTTCGAGCATCAGAGCTTCATCGTCACAGTTGAGAAGTCATAATGTTTCGCTCAGTTTGAAGGAAAAGAAGGTTGCTGATGGTAAAACTAAGAAGGGAAAGGAGGAGTTGCAAAAATCAGTTATTGATCTTTCTCCTCAACATCAACCAAGTGAGAACAAGAACATAGTTCTGCTGGTACCAAAAAATCTCTCCAGAAATTGCTCCCTTCAGGAACCAAGAACACCGCCAGATGAGGATTCAATTGAAACAAATGGAAAGAGCCTGTCAGATGTCTTTTCTTATGCAGAAGCTCACTCTTCAGAACATTTTTCTGAAATTCCGCACTCATGCCCACTGCTTTCTACAAAGGAAACCAACAAAAAACCCCACAAAATGTTGCACAACGCAATGGTTACACAGGGTGCAGAGATGTCATCTGATGCATCTCACACATCTGCATGTTTGCTTAAGGTGCCAATTAGACTGTCTGAAGATAAATTTGCTGAAGAGAGCTGTGTTAAGACTGCAAATGGAAGCACAGTTGAAACTTTAAATACTTTGGATCAGGAAACAATGGAAGTGATGACAAGAAAAGGCAGACATGCTTCACCAAATCGCCGGTTTAGCTTCAGCTTAAGTAGAATGAGCAGGAGTTTCAGCTTCAAGGAGAGTTCAGCTGTCCCAGAGTTGAGCTCCACATATGTTTCCACAAACTCTGGTCCTGTGATGTCCGAAGGTTCTGCTTGTTTGGATAATTCAAACAGAGAGAAGGCAAGTGGTCCAAGTAGTAGCTAGATCCAGCCCATTGAGAAGAATGCTAGATCCTCTGCTGAAGTCCAGGAGCTCTGGGACACTTCGTTCAGCTGAAACTGGTTCATCAAAGGAAAGCTTGAATTCCTTCAAATCAAAGCAATTTGATGCCACTGAACCACTTAAGGATGAAAAGTATGAGCCATCAAGGATAAAAGCTCTTCTGCAGCTTACAATAAGGAATGGAGTTCCTTTGTTCAGATTTGTGGTTGACAACAATAGCAACATTCTTGCAGCCACCATGAACAAGTTATCATCGCCTCGGAAGAATAATTCAGGCTGCAACTATACGTTCTATGCCATTGATGAAATCAAGAAAAAGAGTGGCAGCTGGATAAGTCAAGGCAGTAAAGAGAAGAGCTGTGGCTATGTCTACAATGTGATTGGCCATATGAAGGTTAATGGCTCTTCCATCTTTGAATTGAATGGACCGAACTCCGTTGGCCAGATTAAGGTGAAAGAGTCTGTTTTGTTTGGTGTCGACCTAAGTCAGGCGAATCAGGCATCGCCTAAGTTCATGGCAAATAGGGAGCTTGCAGCTATTGTTTTCAAAATGCCTAATGAAATCTCTAGCCTCGACCTGCAGCAGACTGATCAAAACTTGATACACAAGGGCTCCTCACAGTGTCTTCCAGAAAGTCGAAGCTCTGGTAACTTGGGGGAAACCAAACACTGTTGTAGTGCTACTGTCATACTTCCTGGTGGTAATCATAGCTTGCCAAACGAGGGAGTGCCTTCGCCATTGATACATCGGTGGAGATCTGGTGGATCATGTGATTGTGGCGGTTGGGATGTTGGTTGCAATCTACGTACACTCACCAATGGAAGCCGAAGTACTAAGATTCCAAGTACATTTAAAAGTTGCCTGATATCAAATTGTTTTGAACTTTTCACTGAGGTACTGCTGTTGTGTTTTAGCTTAGAATTTATCTTCACACTCTTTTGGTGTCATTTATATAGGCAACAACTTAACCTGTATATCCACCCATGCAGGGAGCAATCCAACAAGACCAGCCTATCTTCAGTTTGGCACAAGTGGAAAAAGGAATGTATTCGGTTGACTTCAGTTCATCAATTTCTTCTTTACAGGCATTTTTCATTTGTGTTACTGTTATAAGTTGTCAAAAATCATCTGATCTTCTGGATTTCAACAATGCTTCCAGTGAAAAAGTTCACCAGGAGCTGAGGAGCTCTGGTAATGGAACAAAGAAGATCCACACCATTTCCTCCGGGGAAACACATGTGAAATACACTCTAAGCCCTCCTCTTTCCCCTTTTGAAAGGGTGTAGTGGGTTCATGCCCGGAGGTTGTTTGTTGTTAGTGTATAGTTGCTAAAGTTCTTCAAATGGCGAAGGAGGGATTAGTGACGGGGCGTTCATGATTGATCGCAATGGTGTTTGTTGTGACTTAGGCAGTAAAGTTGGAGGAAGAGCTCCTAAACAGTTTCCTGATGTAGCAGAAATTATGTAATCACCACTAATGTCACCCTTGTGTTGTGTATAAAGAAAACAGCGCCATGAAAATATACAGCTTTGAAATTCAGCGAGTTTTAAAGCAAACATTTACATTATCATCGCATAACAGTGACTATAAGAGTGCCACGTGCACAAGTAATTTGGAAGAAAGAATGGTCGTGTCGTTCAAGTACACTTTGGTCCAGTTTAGAAATGAAATGTTAATTTCGTAGTTAAATTGATCCGGTAAATTACATTGTGCTAAAGGCTTTCAGTAACGTTGTTTTTCTAAATCATAATTTCTTAAGGTACAGGATTCACTATTTAGACTGCAAACCAAGACTGTTAACTTAATTTTACTGCCTCGATTGGGATTACAAGATCCTCGTTGTTTATTGTAATAGTAAAATAATAACCATGAAAACTGATGTTGTAGATATATTAGTAGATGCTGACAAATTTATTCTCAAACAACAAATCACATTTTTTTTATTTTATTATTATTATGACTCTTATTTGAACCCTATTCCCAAATTTAAAAAAAAAACTAAAATCATTAATTATTATTCACCGCACTATTTAAAATATTGTTCATTCAGACACTATTCACTCGGATTAATAGGTATTATTTCTTTCATCTGTACAATGATATTTTTATAGTTTTTAAGTATTTTTAAAACATTTATTATGAAAGTTTTTATAATATTACACTTTAGTCTCTTTTTTTAAATATTTTTTTTAGTTCATAAATATTTTTTATTTGATTTTAATCTCACTTTTTTATTTCATTTTAATCACTTTGATCCTTGTTTTTTTTTTCTCTAATTTATTTAATTAAAAATTTTAAGACAAAAGGATGTTTAGAAAAAACAATTTACAAAATAAAGTTTTAGCTAAAAATGTAGATAGAGATAAATAAATAATATTTTTTAATAAAAAATTTATGAAAATATAAAAAATAATTAATCAAATACAAAATTTTGATTAAAAAATGATAAAACTGAATAAATTTTTATTCAGTTTTGATTTGATACATTTTGATAGACACACAATATAATACGAAATATTAAAATAAAATCATTTTTTAAAAATAATTTTATATATGTTTTAGGTTTAGTCTATCTTATAATTTCTAACTGCTACAATTCCCTCTAAAAAAATTCGATTTTTGATATTTTCAGCTGAAATTCCGCACATAAGTTAGAAAAAATCCATATCTGCACAAACTTTCTAAACCATATCAGCACATGTGCACCCAAAATTATAAAGACTGAAGTGTGATGCAAGGTGAATCTAAATAACAAAAAAGGGCAATCGTCCTTTGCATGCATTGTGATGGAATTGGTGAGATGCTTATAAGTCCACAGGTGAGGCATGGTGAATGGAGATGAACCACTGACCATCAATCTTCTCAAAAACATTTGTTACAAAATGTGCCCCCCAACTGCTACCTTTTGTTCTCACAAATTCTACACAGGTAACATAACCTACATCTCCCCTAAAATGCACTCGAGCATTTTTCAACTCAATCTCTAGTGGGAAATCATAGTTCATCCATACAAGCTCCCAGCTTTCCATAACATCGTCATAACCAAGAACCCCACCAGCACCTGGGTGCACACAACATACATTATCCACTTTTGCCCAGAGGGATTGCATGGCAGCCAGATCCCCCTTCCTGAAAGCATTATAAAACCGAGCATTTGCTGCCAGTACTGAAGCCTTGCTATCTTCCTGGAGTACCTTAAGGCTGTCCCTGAGTTTTGCAGCTTGGGCATAGTTCTCTTCTTCAATGGCAACCTGAAGCTCACGAATTAAGGTTTGCTCATCCAATACAATGCTTTCACCACTTAACACTTCCTCCGAATCCTCACTTCTTACTTGACATGCTCTTAATGACAATAAGCGGGAAGGCTGTGCAAAGGGTTCTGTGCTATACAAATTATACAGTTAGAGACCTGCTACCACTAATTCAGAAGGCAGGAATGCAGACAACTGATAAACGAAAAAAGTCAAAATGAAGACCACAATAAACACTATCAACTATGGCCACTTCAGCAAGTCAGTTCCGTTCTGAGAAGTAAATCATTGGCTGTTTAATTAACTTCCCTGTCTTGATTGTTTTTTCATAGTAAAAGTGTAAGCATCTATTAATGAAGGCACCAGGGGGCTTATCGCCCACTGACAAGAACAAGAGGCACTACCTAGTACCTACTAAGTTCATTGACCATGAAATAAAAATTATTTAATCAATCCATCCGAGACAATGTATAGACATTTGCCACCGCCACAAGAAACGAAGACAATACAAGTTGGAACATCAATATGGGCGAGGCAATGAAACTACACAAATATCATCACAAAAAAATTAGCATTTTTAGACTTGCTGCTGTCTGTAATTACTGTAGTTCACTTGCCCCCAAACCAGGTAAAGTATAAAGAAGAAAGAAGGATGGAAAGGCAAAGAAACTTACGGGTTCCTCCTCCAATATGTAACTTTTTAAGACAATGATGTCTTTCAGCCAAAAATATATTTGGTGTCAGGGAAGGTGAAGAGAAATTGTGGGTTCTCTTGAAACTATTAATCCAGGAACACTGCAGTCTCTTAAACTCTCCTATATCAATAAAATTTGCCTACAACAATATGCAAGCAAACCTCAATTAACAACATGGAAATTTCAAGAATTTGCTAGTTGATAAAAAAATGAACATTCAATTTCAAAACTGTTAGTGATAAAATCTAGAAAGAAATGAAATTTCAAGGCTGGTAATGTATAGATTAACAGGCAGAATCAAATATAAGTAATTACGAGAATAAGAACTCACTTTGTAACAAAAGCTAGATCCATGTAGAGCCATGACTAAGGTGGGTTTTTGAAAAAACCTAATATGGTGGCAAGAGTTAAGATTTAGGGTAGGGTTTTGAATCTTCTGATAGATCAGGAGGAAATCAAGGAGGATAAGGTTGTTTGCCGCTGTTAAGACCATTTCGAGAAAGTTGATAGATTTAGGCTCAACTTCCAAATGGGCTTTTGCCTCGAAAATCATAGTATGGCCTGATCTGTTTTGGTTTTTGATTTGTGCTCAAAAAGTTAACAAAACAAATCATTCATGGGCTGTGGATCTCTTTGAGGTACAAGAGACATTATTATATGCTTTCACCATCTAAAAGTAAAACCTAGGTATTTACTTCTTTTTTTTTTTCCTTCTTCTTGATGTTTATGTTATTTATATAATTTTTACTTTTAATGTATTTGGATTATATCTGATGTTTTTTCATGTATTTTTGGATGATTTTGATATTTTAGTGTTAAATTTATTAAAATATATATCCAATTTTATGCTTTTTAATGATAAATATATTTTTTCCAAAAACATCTGCATTTCATTATTAGACAAACAGTATCAATTAAATAATTCACCAAAAATACATTATAAAAACACCTGGAAATAGCCTTTTTACTTCTAGATGAAGAAACGGCTGAAAATTTCTTTAGATAAACTATATGTCAAAATAATTAGATAAAAAAACAGATTTGACGTTTCTTCAATGACAAATACATTTTTATAAAATACATGCATTTGATTATTAAACACACACTATTAATTAAGTAATGCACGAGAAATACCTTGTAACAACACTTGGATTTCATCAAAATGAGATCTATAATTTGAAAAAGTAAACACCCTTTTACCACTAGATGAAGAAGAAACTGAAAATTTCTCTAGATAAACCATGATCTGTCTTACAAGAAAGTTCTTAGATGGAGACAAATTAAGCTTTGATTGATTCAATTAATAAAACTCCAAAGCATTCTTGTGTCAGACAAGTATGTTTCTTTGTTTTCATCCCCTTTCTTCTTTTTCCTTTTTAACAATGACGAACATCCCACTCCACCCATTTCATTGTCAATTCCAACAACCCAATGGCCCCAAATGCCTTGTGAAATTTCCTTTGTACAATAGCTGTGAAACTTCAGCTGCAAAATACATACAATTTGATGCCTTTGCTGAGAAGATAATATATATATATATATATATATATTATCTTCTCAGCAAAGGCATCAAATTGTATGTATATACTGCCAGTTCACCTGCCCCCTCTATATGACGATTGTTGGAGTTTGACCGATTCTGAAGTAAGTCAATATTGTGTAATATTTGACCAAACCATGGATGACAAGTGGTCGGGGTATTTGTTTAGATAAAGAATGAGGTTTAGCGGCATCAGAGTTATTTAGTTTGTCCAAAATTAAAAATTAATTTTTATTCTTTATAAATAATTAATTATAATTATTTTTTAATAATATCATATTTAAACCGGTTTTATTCAAGAGATAATTTGATAATCAAAAAAAAAAAAAAAAAAACTAAATATGTTTTAAAGTATGTTTTGTTTAGAAAATAATAGACTAGTTTTGATTGATATAAAAGATAATTTAAGATAGTACATTGCCTATAAATAAAGAAACAAATAAACTTGGTCAAAATGTTGTGTCTGTACATAATCGATTTACTCCAGAAAGAAAAATCATTTGCTTAACCCACTAACCTGAAGCTTTAATGGTCCATTGCGAATTATTATTTTTATGAATCAAGAAGATTTTCCATGTGCATGCCAATCCTCCTTTAACGTTTATTATTGAAGGCAAAAAGACAAGAGGAGGGAACTTTTTCTGAATCTGAAGGGCTGATTTAATTGGTAAGTAGTGAGTGGAAAAGCATTCTAGTTGTCAATATAAATGGATTTGATCCCACATAATTGCAAATTTGTACCGTACTCTCAAAATATGTAAGAGAACTTGTTTAAGTAGAAGGGCAAATGAAAGGGAGCTTCCTTGATTGGGTTTGGGCAGTCATGCATATTTCCACAAAAAATGGTACGTTAACTCGTATCAAACATCGCAATCAAGAAGTAATGTGGTAAAGTGGTAGGAGTTGTTTGGATTGATTGACATCTAAATTTAATTTTTATTATCCATGTATAATTATCCATGTATAGCACACTATAATTATTTTTTAATGCTACTAAATTTGAGCTGAATTAGTTTAAAAAATAATTTAATGATAGATCAAAAACTAAATATATTTTGACACTAACTTGAATCGAAAACCGATAAACTTATGCTCGATTAATATGAAAATTGATCTAAAAATACCTTATTATCTTTTTAAAAAAACTTGTATAAAATATTGCCAATAAAGATCGAAAAAGAATACTTTTGTGATTTGTTTGTTATTATATAAAAACGATTTTAATTCAATATTTATGAAGGAAACACTAATTCTGTCGAGATTTTTTTGATTTTTTTTTACAAATTTTAACTTAATTATATGAGCAAGGGTTAGCATAAATGCATCAATAGTTAAAACATAGACAACAATGATAGGATAGTTTATAAATTTCTAACTTTTATAAACACATGTGGCTAATATAAAAATGAATCTTTTGGGTCCAAAAGCATACGATTGACCCAACTAGTTCAAAATTCAAAAAGTCAAGATTTAGGCGGAAAAAAATAAATAAATTGTATACCCATGTTAATTTCATGGGAAAGATTATATCAGTTATTCAATTGTATTAATTAGGAATATCATTATAAAAAATTATATTGTTTTTATGAAGAATCCAAATGAAGGTATTTATTATTTTAAATTGGCCAGAGTTGTAAATGAATAAGGTTGATACGAAGAATGTATTTGTAAAATAATTAAAAAAAATTAATTGGTATATAAATTAGTTTGAAAATATTTTTATTATCAAATAAAAAATAAAATAACTAGAGTACGGATACAAAATATTGAACCAACTCAAGTTCTATGTGTGCAGAAAATATTTTTTTTTCGATAGTGTATATGTTGAGTTATTTTATATGGATTCTAAAAAATATTATATGTTTAGTTATAAATAAGAAAAAAAAATTGATATCGTAAACTAGGTTTTAGAGATGTAAAGATCCAATAACAATATTTAAAGAAATTGTGGTGAGGGTGATACAATATTGTTCGTTGGGCTGTCTTCTATGGACCCCGATCGTGGGGACCTTTCAATCTGGAGAATTTTTATATGCAGAATTGGTAGATTTTCTCGAGTAGAAGGCATTGGGATTTTAAAGTTTGAAGTGGTTGCCAATTGACTATTCATGGTACCACCAAGTTTTTCCCCTTTTTTTTTTTTTTTTTTTTATGGCACCACGTGGCTCTAAGATGCTGACATTTATGGAATAAATTATAAATTAATTTTTTTAGTTTTCATAAATAAATTAGCCAGTTCATTTTATTTTAAAAAATAAATATTTAATTTTTATATTTTTAAATCTATCTATAATTTAATTTTTTGTTTTTTTTTGTTTTAAAAAATAAAAAAAAGTAAAAAACATAAAAAAATTTGATATGAAAAAAAAGATATAATATTAAATTAATCATGATCAAATTAAATAATTAATTTTAAAAATATAAAAGAGGAATTAATTCATTGCTTAAGAATAGAAGGACTAGATTATAACTTGCTGGGCATTTATGCTGGCGAGGCATTTAAAAGGTCCTGGCTGGCTCTTAAGTCATAACCGCTCCCCTTTGCCAAAGGTAACTGACGCGACAAACAAATAGCCAGCAGAGAAAGTCAGTGATCTGAGCTGTAAAGGTGGGCCCCATAGACCTAAGGTATAAGTAAGAAAGGGAAGGCCTTTCAGAATGTTGGGATTTTAAGTTCTACTGGCTTAGTTTTTTTACAGGGATGGCAGTGGATTAGGTGGTACAGATTTTGCTGTATCTAAATTCATTTTCACGGTCAAGCCGGTCAGATTGAAGACTTTCTTCCCTCGATGAGTATGCATTAGATATCTTATTCTATCCAATTTTACAAAAATAAAATCTTAATTTATATATATAAAAAAATTTATCCACGAATCATAACCATAAAGTAGAATTTAAACTTCAAATCTATGCATGCAACCATAAAAAAATTCATCACAGATCATTAAGATAAACAATCCATGCATTAACTTTAAAAATAAAATTGCAACTCCAAAAAAAAAAAAAAAGTTCAAAAATCAGATCGTGGTAGGGTAGGTGAACTCTTCGCTTGTTTCTTCATCTGACTCTGGTCTAGTTAAATCAGATTGGATCAAATAACATCAGATGTCCAACCAATTAAGAGGACAAATCGAGTGAAATTTTCATCTAGTTCTTTGGGCTTTAAATTGGCAAACATCTTTACTTTTACTAGCAAGGGGATCAGTGCATTGTGATAAATACGCTTACAAGATCTATTTTATGTTTTTAATGATGTTAAATGTATTAAAGTATAGAGGTTATTAGAGAGTATATATCACGTTTAATATTTAAATAAAATATTAGTAATATATGAAATTGAGAAAGGGCTATCAATTATAAAACTTGAATCTTTTGAATGAAATTTAATCTTAATTATCTAATTCTATATGATATTAGGTCCTTAAATAGACATAATAGCTCGGTAAAAATATCAAAACCTAAGCCGCTTAATAGACTTCAAAAGACGAGACTATAAGTAAATAAAAATGTTAAAAAATATATCATATATTTAATAGTTAACTAAAAGAGAATTTTTTAATATATAAAGTTAAAAATGGTCATTCATCACAAGACTTAAGTTTTTTTTTATATAACTTAATATCAACTATCTAACTCTATAAACTATCTAACTCTATAAATGAATGAGACATTAAATTGATACGACACATATAAATTACTAAATTTAATGTTAATTCTTTTTCAATATTTGTAGAGAAATTGAAGGTTTTTTTTTCTAAGTTACATTTTTTTTGTTTGTTGTATGGGCATTTGATGATGAATATGACTTTGAATCAAAAAAATAAATATTTTTTTTATATTTAGAGTGATATTTTTCTCTGGTGCAATAGAGTATTTTGTTCATTTTAAAGTAAATATGCTATTAGGACTAAACAAAATAACAACTTCTATATTTCTCTTAAAACTTACAAAGAAATATATTTTTAGAAAAAAAGGAAGAATAATTTTTTTTACAAGTGTTTCAAACACTTCAA